CTACCTTCAAAATATATCTAAATTGGGTCACTTCCTGCTATCTCCATTGCTTCTCACCACAATATGGTCTATTCCTTGCCCAGACCACCATACTATTTCCCCTGGATTATTGCCATAACTTCTTTTCCTTGCTGTGTCCTTTCTCTTCTACAGCCTGCTCTAAACACAAAGAGGCTTTAATATCTTGTTAAAAGTTAAATTCTCGTAGCTGGGCATGGTGATGCATGCCTTTAATCCCAGTACTCAGGAGGCAGAGGCAGGTGGATCTCTGTGTGTTCAATGCCACCCTGGTCTATATAATGAGGAGCTTCAGGTTAGCTGGAACTACAGGGTCTTAAAAAGACCAAAAAAAAAAAAGTTAAATACTCCACCAAAAGGCTTTAGACTTATCTATAAAGCCCACTAATCTGCCACCCCCAAATACACACACCCATATTTCTCTGACATCATCTTCTACTCTGCTTTGTGGTTGCTTTTGGCTGAGCTGCGAAGGCACCCTTCTTCTTCCAACATGCTTGCCTAGAACCATTGCTTTCTCTTCCCTCGAGTCTTTTAAAGGTTCACTTTTCCTAGAATGGTCTCTTTTCTCCTTCAAACTGCTTTTCAGCATGCCCAGGAGTCTGATGATTCTTTCCACCCTACTCCAGAAGACAGGGATTTAAGGTTATCCATCTTCCTCTTGTTTATTGTTTTTGTTTTTTCAGACAGGGTCTCACTATGTAGCCCAGGCTGTCCTTAAACTCACAGAAATCCTCCTGCCTTAGCCAATCTCAGTGCTGAGATTACAGGTGTGTGCACTACAACTGTACTCTCCTTATCTTTTTATCTATCCTTACACTTTCATTTGAACAGAATCTTTCTATAGTTAAAAAATTTTGAAAATATCCTTTTTATGAGATGAAAACTTAAAAACTGAGATTAGTAGTTGTAGAAAGAGATGCCATTAAAGTCTTAGAAACTATAGCAAGGCACAGGTTTTCTTTTCTTTCATAGTTCATAGATATAGTCCCTATTTTGCAGTTGTGAGGACTGAGTCCCCAGAATGCTGTTGAAAGTGGTGCTGATGAACAGCATTCCTACCATGACAAGTCCTCCTATAAACCTGTGGCTCAGCTGTTAGCATTTTGTCTTCTCTGAACTTGGTGTACCTATTGGCACCCTTGGTATTTTTCTGACAAATCTGGTTGGAACCCCTTTCTGATGGCGGGCACTCCTCAGAATAGAGGCTTACTGACTGGGTGCAAGTATTAAAGGCAATGGAGGATTCCATATGACACAGGAAGAATGTGTTGATTCTACTCTAAAGTGCAAACATCACATTCAGTGAGTCTCTGCAGGTATCAAGTTCAGAGACATCATTTGGGTCAGCATTTCTGAGCCTATGTCTCCAAGCCTGCAGACTCTAATGTACATTCTGGTGGGTGGTGTTAAAGGTTGGAATGCTATATCTTGATTTGTTGTATTAAAAGATAATGGGGCTAGGTTAGGTGGCATACGCCAAGAATCCCAGCACTCAGGAGGCAGAAACAGGCCGATCTCTGTGAAACAAGTCAGTCTGGTCTACATAGTTCCAGACTAGCTGGAGCTACAAGGAGACCCTCTCAAAAAACAAAACCTACAAAAAAAAATGCATTGTTTATTTTTCAAGGTTTTTGGTAACTTTTCTTTTGTTCCCTTTTGAGGAGATAAGTGGGTGGGTAGGTTTGAGTGTGTGTGGATGCAGGTGTGTGCAGATATAGTACATGTATAAAGGTTAGAGAACATCCTTGGCTATTGGTCTTCAGGCACTATCCACATTTGATTTGAGACAGTCTCTGATTTTGTCTGGAACTTTGCCACATAGGCCAGACACCTGGCCTACAGGCTTCTAGGAAGATACCTGTCTTCACCTCCAACTCACCATTGCTGAGATTGCAGGTGTGCCTTTATGTTGGTTTTTTTTTTTTTTTTTTTTTTTTAACGTGGGTTCTAAGGATCCAAACTCAGGTCCTCATACTTGAGAGGCAAGCACATTACCAAACGAGCCATCTCCCACTTCATAACTTCTCTTTTTTATTAGCGTATATTAATTGTACAAAATAATGAGTTTCATGTGACATTTTCATAATACATATAATGTTCGTTGATATATTCTCTAATCATTACCCTCTTTTATCCTTCCTCCCTGACCACTTTCCCTTCTTTAATAGTCCCCACCCATTTAAGTTCAACAATATATTCTATTAAATTTTTAACCATTCAACTGTTATATAAACACACTGACCTCATCTTTGCTCTTTGCTCTAGATGGGTTAATTTCCTAGATGACGAAGTAGATAAATTAATGTAATTTCAGATACTGGTAAATAGTTCTATGAAGAAAATAAAGTGGGGCTATTATTATAGTAGTGAACACTTGAATAACCTATAATTTTTCCATATTTTAAAACATCACAGCAACATCAAGCATATCCTTATGCTTGTTCAAATGTATGCGTGTTTATACTGCATAGATTATGAAAGATAATTTTTTAGATACTACCATATTGGTCCCCAAGTTGTCTATAATAATATTATGTAAAATATATAATACATAGTATAACTAAACACATTAATGTGTCTTCTCAGTAAATATTTATATTATTTTTAGTTGCATTAATAATATTGAACATATTTTTATAAAATAGCATATTATATGGATAAAAGGCCTAATACCCTACTAATTTGTAAGTTTTTACCACTAAAATTTTACAAGTGTAAATTCCTGTTTTTTGGACTGGCCTGGAACTTGCTGTGTAAACCAGACTGGCCTCAAACTAAAAGAGGTCCACCTGCCTCTGCCTCCTGAGTGTTAAGATTAAAAGCATGCACTATCATGCCTGGATCCTTTTAGAACTCTTTAATTGACACCTCACTGTATATATTCATCAGGTATCAGGTACAGTGTAATGTTTTGATACATTTACAATGTGTAATGATCAAATCTGAGTAATTAGCATATCCCTTTACCTCATTTATCATATATTTGTGGTGAGAACATTCCAAACCCTCTTCTATTTTGAAATATGCAATATATTATTAATGCTATAGTCCCCTTTCTCTGTAATAAACACCATTGTTGAATATGTTCTCAAAACTTTTCCAACCATTTGTATTTCTTTTACTGTCTTTTGGGTTGCACAGTAGAGACAGCTAGTTACTGCTTATGATCCATCTTTAGTATTAGGAATTCCAGTTCTTAGCCAGGCCTATCACTTCCTTCCAATAGACTTGGCCTCCTTAGAGCTAATTACAAACATGTAAGTTGAAGCTAATAGCATATAAGCAGAGGGGAAAGTTTTGTTCTTCATTCCTCCATTTTTTATATGCATTTGAACACATGTGATACGTTACTACAAGAGCATTGATATCTATCCTAGACCATCAGAACCTTTGTGGTAGCTGAGCCAGAAAGCATGGGTCTCCGAGTCAGGTGAATCTACCATACTAATACCCACCATATTTTGTATGAGAGACTTAACTTTTGTCTTATTGAGGCACTCCTATATTTGATTTTCTATTTATGTGCAGCATAGCAAATACTTCTATTATCTATTTATATTATAGATACAGTCCATATAAAAAGGGTGTGTGTTATTCCATTCTGTTGGAGTCCTCTTCCTTTGTGGTATCTTTTGTTAAACTGTTTTTAATTTTGATGTCAGATTGGCTTATTTTGCATTTATAGCTTTTTATCTTATGAAACGTTTTAATCCATCATATTCTTTTATTAACAGTATTGATTTTACACAGCAATGGGGTTTATGATATTTTCATATATATGTAAAGTATTTTTATTATATCCAACCCGCATTATCCTCCCATTCCCTCTCCCACACATGCTGGTCCCCTTTCTCTTCTCAATTTATAACCCTTATACTTTTGTGTCTTTATTTTGTGTGTGTGTGTGTGTGTGTTCCAATTTGTTTAATTAGTGTTGTCCACATGCACATAGATGAGTTATTTACATCTTACCTGTGTCTACACTGCTGAAGAAAATGTCTCCCCTTCCCCCAGCAACCACTAATTGCCAGTAACTCATCAGAGAGGGGTGGGGCTTCATGATCCCTTCCCCCTTCCATGATGGAATGTTGATGGGCCCAATCCTGTGTTGGTCTTTTGCAGGGAATCACAGCCATTGTGAGTTCATGAGTGCAATGGTCATGTCCTTTCTGAAACACAATATCCTACAGCATTCCAGGCCTTCCTCTAGCTCTTACATTCTCTCCATACCCTCTTACACAACATTCCCTGAGCCTTGGAGAGGCTGATATAGATGTCCTACTTAGTACTGAGCATTCAGCAGTCACTTATTCTCAGCACTTTGACCAATTAATAAATCTCTTAAGTAACTTCCACGCACTGCTAAAAGAAGCTCTGACCAAAGCTAAAGATAGCACTAATCCTTAGGCATAAATTTATGTATCTAGAAGACAGGCAGTTTGATAAGCACAACTTGTCAGATTTTGCAAAACAACAGAAGGACCTTCCCACCAGGATCTGTAACCTCCCAGGTTATAGACTTTGACAGGTACCAGGCATGAATTCCTTCCTGTGGAGTGAGCCTCAAATTTAATCAGAAAATGATTGGTTACCTTGGTAACAGTCATGCCACTATTGTACCAGTGGGCACCTCTTGTCTGACAAATTGGTGGTGCAGCACTCAGGGCCCACATATGAGTAAGACTGTTAGTGGCTTTCTTTCCATAGCAGCCTGTATAGCACCTTCTGTCACTATGAAAGCTAGCCAGCAGAGTAGCTTACAGCTCAGTTCCAGCTTGATTTCACTATGGCCTATGACCAAAGTATATTAACCATACTAGCAATAGGCTCTTACCATCTAGTTCTGGTGGGCAGTGAAGAGAAGTGGCAATAGCCTGTTTTGTTTGGGGGAAAAAAAAAACTTTTTTCAACTGACTTTTTGTTTTCTGCTCTGAACATATATATAATACATAATATAAACGAGAATCTTACTCTTAAAAAAAAATACGGAACACTTCACGAATTTGCCTGTCATCCTTGTGCAGAAGCCATGCTAATCTTCTCTGTATCATTCCAATTTTAGTATATGTGCTGCAGAAGCAAGCACAGACTCTTACATTCTTATACTTTTACATATTTTTCTTTTTAAAAATATTTTATTTATTATTTTTATTTTTTACGCATGAGTGTATTGCCTGCATGTAGGTAAGTGCACCCATGTCGTGCAGTGCCCATGAAGGACAGAAGAAGCTGCTGGATCCCCTGGAACTGGAGTTATGGACAGTTGTTAGCTGCCATGTGGGTGCTGGGATTTGAACCCAGGTCTTCTGCAAAAACAACCAGTGTTCTTAACCGCTGAGCCATCTCTCCAGCCCCTACTTTTATATATTTTTCAAATGTAGACCTTTAATTCATTTGGAATTAATTTTTCTGAATAATGTGGGGGCAGTATTTAGTTGGCTGTCTGTTTGAAATAATTTTTATGGTAGGTATATCAATTATCAGTTGCTAAATCCTCCTTCACATATGTTAACTTTAGGAACCTGATTAGTCCCATTGAACTATATCTATCTACCTTATCTAATATATATATTTTGAGACAGGGTCTTGCTGTTGCCCCAGCTGGTGTGGAACTTGCTACATAGACTAGGCTGGTCTCCAAGAGATCTGCCTGCTTCTGCTTCCTGAGTGCTGGGACTAAAGGTGTGCACCACCACATGTGGAACCATTGATATATTTTTAATTGCCTTGTTTGCTCATTTACATAATACAACTCTTGCTTATTCTTTACTCTCCTGCTCTTGAATTCTTGACTCTGCACTCGACTTTCATACCCCTTCTGGTATTTGGGGATGGACCACCATTATGTCTGCTCTTTGGCTTCTTGAAGTTGAACTTTGTTGTCATCTGTGGTTTCCCGTATGATCTCCCTATCATGTTTTCTCCAAATTAAATTTCATGGAATTTCAAAGTAAATTAAATATTTTCTTGCTGGAATTACTACTAGAGATGGTAATTCATACATGTTCTTTGAGTGGTTTTGGTTAAGTACCAACATTTTTTTTTTTTTTGAGACAGAGTTTTATATAGCCAAGGCTAGCCTTGAACTTGCTATGTAGTCAAAGATAACTTTGAACTTCTGAGCCTCCTGCCTCTAGTTCCCAAGTGCTGGGATTACAGGTGTGTGCCACCTGGCCTGGCTTGGTATTAGAAGACTGATTCTGAAAGACTCCAGCACATGTGCCAATGTTCTAGTTACTTTCTGTTGCTGTGATAAAAACACTGACCAAAACCAACTTATAGAGAAAAGGGTTTCTTTTATCTTACATCTCCAAGGTTCATCACTGTGGAATGCCAAGGCAGGAATTCAGGGCAGGAACCTGGCTTGTTCCCCTAGCCTCTGCTCAGCCTGCTTTCTTATACAGCACAGGACCACCTGCCCAGGGGTGACAATGCCCATAGGCTGAGCCCTCCCACATTACTCAACAATCAAGAAAATGCCCCACAGACACGCCTACAGGCCAATCCAATGGAGGAAATTCCTCAATTGAGGTTACTTCCACCTCTCTGTTTCAAGATGACAACTGAAGCTGTCTAGGACAGCCACCAAACCCAGTTTGTTGTGCTGTGTTGAGGATCAAACTTAGGGACCTCATATGTACTAGACAGGCACTCTATCAACTAAGCTACACTAAATATTTATTCTTGAGCTCCACAGAAACACAATTTTTTTGCTTGAAATTGTCTATTTGTAGACAGATGAGTACTTCATATTTTTTTAGTGGGCAAGCTCAATGTAAAAATGAACTGATAAGCTTACCTGTAATAAGACTTCACCAAAGATATGGTCAAAGTTGAATAACAGGTCACCAGTGGGACCAGAAACTGGGATAACTAATTTTATCACCAGGATAGGAGCTAAGGAATGAGTTCTATTGAAGGTCACCTGTAAGAACATGAAAAATCAGTTCAGAGAATCCGCATTTTCTTCTTATCAATACTTTCAGTGGGCTTTTGTCTTCTTCCTCTATCCCAACTGAGGTTCTGATAGTTCATACATTAAGAAAATATTGAATTTCTATTTCATGCTGTGCAGTGGCTATGTGTTGGGGACATGAGAGTGAATAAATTGTAGTGTTTTCCTGACACATCTGCTTCTGCTTCCCTGACCCATCACATTGCCACCTGAATCTCATCATCCCCTCCCTGAGAAACTAGCAGTGTTGCAAATTCTCAATAAATACTTTGTGAATACATAGCAATTATTATCTAAGTTTGTTCCGATCAGTGACTTTTGACACTGAATTTTTGTCCTTGTATTATGTTTTCTCCAATTGAAGTTCATATTTTTCTCTTCCATTAAGTTTCTTTAAATTGTATTTTCTTGCCCTGACATTTGCATTCTTCCACATTTAGAGCCTTCTGCATTTTCCATTTCCCTCCTGTAGATTTAATCTCACAGGTCACTTGTTTTTATTTTTTAAATTAAGCTTTATGCCTGGCTTTATGGCATGTTATACATATCTTTCTATTTCTGGATATGATATCATTTGTTCATATACTCTTAATTATATCCTAGTCAGGATATAAAGCTTGAACAAGCTTTTATCTTAATTATAATTACAAAGTTTGATAATATTCTTATAGTGTGAAGTTCAGAGAGGTACCATTTAATGTTGTTCATCATCTATTCAAAGTCCTAAATTTTATTCCATTTATCTATTATGATATTTTATATAGCTGTTTTGTGTGTCATAGCTTCATCATTTCATAATAATTTATTCAGTTTTCAAGCTTTGTGAAAAAAAATGGGGGTTTTAAAAAGACCTTTTTGGTCTTTCTGTTCAAGTTAACAGTTGCAGTGTTCTCCAGATTCCCTCCTTCCGTCAGTATCTCCCTCCCTCCTTCCTCTTACTAAGATTTTGAAGCAGTTTTGTTCTAGAAGTTGAGAAACCTGTAGTTACAGGAAAGAATGACTATGCAAGTTCTTTTAACCTTCATAGAGATATTATATAGGACAAAATGGCAATGGCTTTGTCATTAGAAAATCTTGGGCTCAAATTACAGTTCTTACAGTTTCGGAGTAGTATGATCAAGTTCTTTGTTTTATTTATTTATTATTAACTTTTAGAAAAACTTTATTGAGACTCTCATATATGAATATTAGGTGTTTTGATCAAATCCATGACCACTCCCTTCCCTCTAACACCCCCCATATCTCCCCATCACTTTTTTCTCACAACTTCGTGTACTCACTCTTTCTTTCTTTTTCTTTTGTCTTTCTTTCCTTTCCCTCCTTCCCCTCTTCTTTCTTTCTTTCTTTCTTTCTTTCTATTATGTGGCTTTTTGCTACTCTAACATTACGCCCTCTGAAGAGGTAACCCTAAAATCCTTTAGGGATTAGATAAGAGCGCCGAAATATTTTCGACATCTTTGGCCTTTGGAATAGAGTATGTTGCTTAGGAAGCCCAGGGACATTTTGACTTTTAGCCAAGAAACTGGCTACTTTTCTTTGGGGTCTTTTTTTTTTTTTAGACAGGGTCTCCTTGTAGCCCCAGCTGGCCTGGAACTCACTATGTAGACCAGGCTGGCCTTGAACTCACAGAGAACCACCTGCCTCTGCCTCTGCCTCCCAAGTGCTGGGATTAAAGATGTGCGCCACCACACCCGGCTCTTTGGGGTCTTTTTTACCCTAGCCAAGCCTACCTAACTGCCTAGCCAAGTCCTACCTCCTATTCTTATCACACCATCCTCTGAAGAGGTTACCCAAATTACCAATAGGGAATCGGGACCACAAAGTCTCACTATATAGCCCTGGATGACCACTATGTAGACCAGGCTGGCCTCAAACTCACAGAGATCTACTTGCCTCTGCCTCCCAAGTGCTTGGATTAAAGGTGTGTGCCACCATGCCCAGCAAGTTGTTTAAAAAAAATAAAAATAAAAAACTTCTCAGCCTTGGAGAAGGACTCATCTGTGAAATAGAGGTAACACTAACTTTATTATTAGCATAATAAGTTAATTAGATCATATGTTTTTAAAATATTTTACACAATCCTAGCATTCATAAGAACATTCATGTACCATATAATGTTGTTTTGGCCAACAATGGACTACCTACCCAATGTTGTCCTGAAAGATTACAGTGGGGCTAAAAAATTCCTGTCTTGTACACCCATAGCTACAGAAGAAGCAAAGGGAAAGGAAAGTATATAAGAAGAAAAAACTGCAAAGATTTTCACAGTGAGAGATTTAACAGAAGCTTTTGCAGACTTCAACATTATCCTTAAAAAGGTTTTAAAAAATGGACCCCAACACTCAGTGTTAATAAAGAGGTGTTTTCATGCAGCATTTCTACTTACAAGCAAGTCCACTCTGGGAAAAAAAAAAAAAAAACAGGCAGGGGCTAGAGAAATGGCTCAGCTGTTAAAAACACTGGTTGCTCTTCCAGAGGACCCAGGTTCAGTTGCCAGCACCCACATGGCAGCTAATAACCATCTGCAACTCCAGTTCCTGAGAATCTAATGCCCTCTTCTCCATGAGCATTGCACACACATAGTGCACTTACATACATGGAGGCAAAACACTCATATACATTTAATTAACTAGCTAATTAGTTTATTAATTAATAGAATAGTATAAAATGGGGGGCTGGAGAGATGGCTCAGTGGTTAAGAGTAAGTACTGCCCTTTCAGAGGACCTGAGTTCAACTCCCAGCACCTATATCAGGTGGCTCACAGCCACCTGAAATTCCAGCTCCAGGAGATCTGTGAGCACTGCACTCACATGGACAAACCCAGACATGTATGAATATAATTTAAAATTTAAGAAAATAAAAAAGGATATTATACAATTTTTTAAATGTGGGGTCTAAAGAGATGGATAGCTCAAGAGTTAAGATCACCAACTGCTTTTGCAGAGGACCCAGGTTCTGTTCCCAGCACCCACATGACAGCTAACAACTGTCTATAACTCCAGTTCCAGAGGATCTAACACCCTCTTCTGACCTTCACAGGCATTGCAGGACATAGGTACACTTAACATACATGCAGACAGTACACTCATAGACATAAAATAAAAATAACTTTTTTGGTCTTTTTGAGTTA